GCGAACCCCGGCCCAGAGCCGACACTTAATTGACACCTATGACGCAGTGCCACCAACAATGGTAACCACTACGCCATCGGAACACCACAAGAGGAGTGAGGTGAAATGACGGGTTTGAGGTCCATTTGAAATTTGGTGGCCTGAGAAAAATTTCAGATTGACGGGGATTCGAACCTCCGTCCTCCTACGGTCTGGGCGGGCTCGCTACCGACTGAGCCACAGAGGCGAGATACGGTCTATCGCTCCAGGGAACGATCCATTCTACGCTGTCGCTGACTGCTAAAAAAAAATGTAAGTGTGAAGAAATATTTTTCTTGTTCACACAAAATGTACTTATTTGTACGTTTTGAAGTGCGTGGAACAATATATCAAAAGATGGCGACAACTTTTTGGGGGTTGCTTAGGTGAGGGATCGGCCGGGACTCATCCGCTGTATCGCTCTTTTAGCGACTGCACACCCCCCTCCCGGTTCGGCGGTGGCGCCAAACGTCCGGGTGCAGGTCCAGGGATAACTTTTATGGGTTACTTTGGTGAGAGGTCGGCTGGGTCAGCATGGACCCAAAGTGTCGCCCTGCACCCGGACGTTTGGCGCCACCGCCGAACCGGGAGAGAGGTGATCACTCGCTAAAAGAGCGATACAGCGGCTGAGTCCCGTCTGATCCCTCACCTAAGGAACTCCCCAAAAGTCATATTTTGATATGCTGTTCCCCGCACTTCAAAACGTAAACACATTACAGCAAAATACGAGAGAAAATTAGGACACAGACATATTTCCTTAAATTTGTGTCATCTGCTTTCACGATACGTCCCTCGACGTAGCTTTCTATTTTTGAAGCCTGTTCCTCTTTGAAGTACTTTCTTCCCAAGTTTTAGCATATCGACGAGGTCGGAGAAAAGTAGGTCGAACAGATCTTTGGTGGGTTTTGGAAAAATTACCAGGTCGGAGAAAAATAGGCCGGACAATCTAGCTGCACCGGAATTACTTCATCTTCTTTCGCGGCACACAACTACCGGCCGAAATTTAGACGTCTTATAAACTTTCTCCGGGAAGCGGAGAAAAAAATGGCTTGTTTAGTGTTTGCGTTCTCAGGGTCAAAAGCCCTGCGGTTCAGATACAAAATAACGGGAAAAAATCAGCCCAATAACTTTTGTGACAGAAGCAAACATTGGTCAGACGATGCCCGATTATCACCATGTCACTGAAAACCGAAGAACACATTCATGCTTCGGGCCTGCCTCAGCGTGCAGCGTGTTTTCCCTCATTTACCGAGACCAAAACTATCCGAAGGTTCGTTGAGTCGAACGTACCCGCGGGGACGTTCCTCTTCCTGCTGCGAGCGTCGCTCTCTCTCCCACACACCACGACACGAGACCCCTCTCCAGTCTTCGCAGGAAAATTAATTCCTTTTCACTTTCCAGGGAGCGCTGAACCCCGTCCCCCTCTCTCTTCCGTCATCCTATCCACCTAGTGGACACATCCCCTTCCCCACGCCCCCGCGGCCTGGGAGCAGGGGTCGGGGACCCGGGAGGGGGCCCTGGGCTGGCCTGGGCCCTGCTGGGGTCATTAATTCTTGTCCTGCGACGACTTCCACAATGGAGGAGGGATTCCGTCTCCAAGCTGTGCTACGCTGTGCTAGGCTGTGCTCCGCCGCATTTCTGCCACGCCCTAAGCGCACAACCCTTCGCCAAAAGTCTAGCTGGAACGTTACGTTTGCTTTCCTGCGCTTCGTTTACGTTTTTTTTTTTTTTTTTTTGCTTGGGTATGTTGCCAGGGGCCAGAGGGGAGGGGGCAATAGCAGTTCACGTCGGTTATGATTTGTTAATACAGTATGCTCTCCGACCAGTTGGAAAGTCGATAGGTCTGAGCTGGGCAAGGTGGGGCGGTGGGACTGAGCGGCATAGCGGTGGCGTGGCGTCGCATCGGCCTCCGAGAGAGGGCGAGAGAGGGAGAGACAGACAGACAGACAGAGTGATTCTAAGAGCCCGCTCACCTGTCTCTCTCGCGCTCATGGCTCAGCAGAGAGAAGGGCGCTGCACCCTGCCACGGCCCGCCCCTCGCCTCACCCCTTCCAGCAGGTCGCGGCCCCGTGAATGTTTCATACCGGCGAAGCCGTTTCTATCCAAAACGCGGTCGAGGGGAGGGTTGTTCCCAGCCCGGGGGTGTGGCAGCGCCCGGCAACGACCGGCCGCGCCCTTCCGCGAGGCGCAGCGGCGGCGCTGAGGCTGAGGCGGCAGTCAGCGCGAAAACAAACGATGTACTTCCACTCTCGCGGTTAAGCCGGTTTACCCGCCGGTTTGCCGGTTCACAAACGGTGGGACGTGGCGTGGTGTGGCGGGGCGTGGAGGCATCCATCGCTGGCATAGCGCACACTTCTCTCTCTCTCTTCTTCTCTCTCTCTCTCTCTCTCTCTCTCTCTCTCTCTCTC